CACTGTGCCAGTGCAGATAACCAACTCAAGTGGGGCGGAAACTTCAATGACAAGAACAGACCTCCAGCTCTGACCAAAGTAAATCACAGTGACTTGCCTAGAAACCGTTGACTGTTGGAAAAAGCCAAGTAAAACATGAAGCATTATTTTAGTGAGACACAGGAACAGGTTCTTGAATTATTTTTGTATTTTTAAATTGAATAGAGGCATCACCAATAGTCTCAGATGAATTCTACCTCACCCGGGATTTGTAGTTCACCTGTACATTTCTGACTATAAATGTCCCCATCATTTTTCTTGCCTCAGCTTTTCATTTCAATCTATAGATCATGTTTGGGGTCTGTGCAAAGAAACAGCTTAAAGCAGTGGTTCACAGCATGGGGCACATGCCCTACAGGGGGACAATTTGATTTTTAAGGGGGGCAATTCAAAACTGAGTTAACAGTGAATTTTTTTCTTATGGTTATAGGGGCCTCAGATACAGTATACAAATATATATTGTGCATTTCAGTTCACTATATGTTTTGAAACTTTATTTGCTATTTTTTCATATCACTTTATATTATTATTTTTTTAAACAATTTTTTAGTGATTTCTTCCTCGGTACTTCATCTGTCCTTTCATTCTTTTATTTTTCTCTTTCATGAATACCATGTTCTTTGGAACCTTGTCTAGACCCGTGGTCGGCAAACTGCGGCTCGCGAGCCACATGCGGCTCTTTGGCCCCTTGAGTGTGGCTCTTCCTAAGTCTTAGGAGTACCCTACTTAAGTTAATAACAATGTACCTACCTATATAGTTTAAGTTTAAAAAATTTGGCTCTCAAAAGAAATTTCAATCGTTGTACTGTTGATATTTGGCTCTGTTGACTAATGAGTTTGCCGCCCACTGGTCTAGACCAAGTTAATGGCCTTTTAGGCTTCCTCCACGTGAATAGGAGCTCACTTTTTGAGTAATACGAGTTATATGTCACGGGGGGGGGGGCATCATGGATTTTACATGCTTAAGTAGGGCATGGCCAAAGTAAGGTTGGGAACCACTGATTTAAAGCAAAGCGAAAGTCTCTGCAAATCTGCAAATTCACACCTTTTTGGAGTACAGGCAGATGCATTATTCTTTTTTGGTTAAAGTTTTTATTGAATTTATTGAGATCATATTGGTTAATAAAATTACATAGGTTTCAAGTGTACAGTTCTATAATACTATATATAGACAGGGTGTCCCAAAAAACGTAGACACACTTTAACAGTTGATAGCTTAATTTTGAAAATGAAATGTATTTTAATAAACACTGCCTTTATTATTATTCAAAGTGTGTGTACACATTTTGGGGGGACACCATATATATATAGTATTGTGTGTTCACCACCCAAAGTCTAGTCCCCTCTGGCACCGTTTACCCCCTCTATCTCCTCCCACCACCCTTTCCCTCTGGTGATCACCATTGTGTTGTCTGTGTCTGAGGTGCTATGTTGTGTGTTTGTTTGTCTGTTTGTTTTTTGCTTAATGCCTTTACCCTTTTCACTCAGCCCCTCAACCTCCCTCCCATCTGCCAGTCTGTTCTCTGTATCTATGAGTCTGTTTCTATTTTGTTCATTAGTTTAATTTGTTCATTAGAGCCCACATATAAATGAAATCATACGGTATTTGTCTTTCTCTGAATGGCTTATTTCACTTAGCATAATACTCTACAGGTCCATTCATGTTGTTCCAAAAGGTAAGACTTTCTTCTTTTTTTACGGCGGAGCAGTATTCCAGGTGTAAACGTACCACAGCTTTTTTATCCACTCATCTGCTGATGGGCACTTGGGCTGCTTCCAGATCTTGGCTATTGTAAATAATGCTGCAATGACCATTGGGGTGCATATATCCTTTCAATTCAGTGTTTCAGGTTTCTTGAGATATATTCCCTGAAGTGGAATCACTGGATCATAAGGTAGTTCCATTTTTTATTTTTTGAGGATCCTTTATGTTGTCTTTCACAGTGGCTGCACCAGTCTGCATTCCCAGCAGCAGTGCACTAGGGTTCCCTTTTCTCCACATCCTTGCCAGCACTTGTTTGTTGATTTATTGATGACAGCCATCCTGACAGGTGTGAAGTGACATCTCATTGTGGTTTTAATTTGCATTTCTCTGATGATTAGTGATGTTGAGCATCTTTGTTGACCATCTTTTGGTATGTCCTGTATGTCCTCTTTGGAGAAGTCTCTATTTAGATCATTTGCCCATTTTTTTAATAAGATTGCTTGTTTTTTGGGTCTTCAGTCATATAAGTTCTTTATAAATTTTGGATATCAACCCCTTGTCAGATGTATCATTGGCGAATGTGTTCTCTCATTCAGTAGGGTTGTCTTTTTATTTTGTTGATGGTTTCCTTCACTGTACAAAAGCTTTTTAGTGTGATGTAGTCACACTTGTTTATTTTTTCTTTTGTTTCTCTTGTTGCAGGAGATATATCAGAAAAAAATATTGCTAAGAAAAATGTCCAATGATCTTACTGCCTATGTGTTCTTCTATGGTTTTTATGGTTTCTAGTCTTACATTTAAGTCTTTAATCCATTTTTAGTTTATTCTTGTATATGGTGTAAGAAGATGGTCTAGTTTCATTGTTTTGCATGTATCTATCCAATTTTCCCAACACCATTTTTTGAATAGACTATCTTTACCTCATTGTATGTTTTTGCCTCCTTTGTTAATAAATAATTGGCCATAAAGGCGTGAGTTTACTTCTGGGCTCTCTATTCTGTTCTATTGACGTATATGTCTATGTTTATGCCAGTACCAGGCTATTTTGATTACTATGGCCTTGTAGTAGAGTTTGATATCATAGTATGATTTCCTCCAACTTTGTTCTTTCTGACGATTGCTATGGCTATTCAGGTCTTTTGTGGCTCCATATTAATATTTGGAATATTTTAGGTCCATGAAATATACCATGGCATCTTCATAGGAATTGCGCTGAATCTATAGATTGCTTTGGGTAGTATGGACATTTTAATTATGTTAATTCTTCCTATCCATGAACAAGGTATATGCTTCCACTTATTTGTATCTTCTTCAATTATCTTTCTTCGGTGTCTTATGATTTTCTGATTATGGGTCTTTTGCATCTTTGGCCATTCAAATGGTATATTGTTGCCTCTTTGGAAGTCCCTACTTCCCATATATCCTTCCACACTTCCTGTCCCCAAACAGAACAATGTCCTGTCATTCACTGTTGTTTGTGCCATTCTGGCAATCACAAAGTTAAGAGATTGTTTCTGATGATTGAAATTCACACCTCAATGTCTCCTCTTATTTACCCTCTGGGGTTATAGGTGGAAGACAGGCGATAGAAGCAGGAAGCATTCGGACATTTGTGGCAATCAAATCCAGAGTTATCAGGCCCACTCAGCCTGGGCTTCCTCCCAGGAGCAGATGTCATCAGTCTGGATCCCAGGGAGGCTGCATGAGGATGACCAAACATCACAAGCACCTGTTCCGTTCACACTTAAGTCCCAGGGCTCCCCAAGCCTCTTCCCTGCATCTCTGAGATCTCAGCAATGAAGGAAGGCAGCTGGAGCTCTGGGGGAGGAGAAGTGTGCTCATTCAAACCAGGCTGACTCTGCCAGGAAATACTTGGCATCCCATGCATACCTGTGATGAGGCTAAAAACATTTGTCTGCATTTTCAACTGTGCACCTGCATCTCTAAGCCAACGAACAGACGCGAGAAATCCACTGGGGCACGTCAGGGATGAAGGGCCCGGGTCTCAGGCAGCTTCTGTGCAGCTCGGTCACATTAAGCTCTTTCCCACGTAAGGTTTCCCTTTCACCGAGTCTCAGCAGGGAGACTATACAACAGTGCACATGAAGAGCGGACGTTACCAGGCACTAGTTGAAGTGATGGAAAGATCCATGGGTAGGAAAAACATGCAGACAAACCAGAGTGCAGGAGTTTTGCCTACATCCCAGTGTTGGGCCAAGAGGACTGAATGAAGAACTAAGACCTGGTTGTGAATCTCAATTTTGCTATAACCTGGTTCCACTGGGACATGCAGTTATTTTATACAGTGGAGCCTCCATTCATGAATCATGTACTGAATGGTTTAATTTGTTGGCTATTACTACTATGGTTCCATAATCTAACACAGTTTATTCCTGGGCATGACTGAGAGGGAAATAATCCAAATCAATACAATCAAGGAGAAGACAGCCAGAGTGCAGGCACCGGTGTGGGGTTTGTTTACTTCACTGGAGCGATGGCTGGGTTACACTGGAGGTGCTGGAACTTGAAACCCTGCCCTGAAATGGGGAAAGAGGAAGGGGCCTGGGAGACAGGAGAGCTGTCATCTCTCATGTGCTATGTATGTAACAGCTGCCACGTCTACCCGGATGCAATGAAGACGGTGCGAGTCTTCACTCCTCATTCCCTGACCCTTATCTACATGAGCACACTCAGGCAGGAGTCATGGAAGGTTGGAGACCTTTGCTTATGGCAGGCAGCCATCTCGGTAGGTGTGCTGCCCTCTCAAAGGAGAGAACAGTAAGAACCAAGACCCAACAGTTACTGCTGCGGAGGCTTCTGGGTAGAAGAGCAGAATTCCAATGCGTGATGCTGAACTGGAATTTATTTACCAGGCGGAGCACGTTCTGCTGGGCACCCAGGGTAGGTAACAAGAGCACAGATGCTGAAAAGCAATTCCTTGGTGTTTACCCCCTCAAAGCCCACACTTCCCTTTAGGAGAGAAGTAGAGAAGAGACCAAACCAAACGCCGGTCTCAAAAATACTCAGGAGTTATAAGTTTTTACCAGAGAATTTCTATGCAAAATAATTTAAAAACCAGAGAAGGCCTTTAAAAAAAAAAAAGCCACGAGATTTCAGTGTATGAGAGCAGCATTTCCTGCCAGAAGGGTTTCCTGTTTCAGGCGGCCGCAGTGAGGATGTGGTGAGACACCGCCCTGGAGCCCAGCCTGCGTTCCCCCCCCCCCTCGCCCCCCGGCCACTTCTCTGTGCCACTCACCCTTCCTCCCCGACGAAGGTGACGTACAGCTTATTTCTCTGCAGGTCTTTCCGGGAGTAGCCCATGATCTGATTAAAAGCATCTTCGAGTAAGTGATCTCTTCTGATGATTAACCTGTCCATAAGGAGACAATTTGAAAAAAAATAAAAAAGGTTATTGCCTAATCCTTATCTTTCTAGGACTGGGCGCTTGCCATTTAATTTCCATTTACCATAACTAACGAGGCTAAAAGGAGTGACTTCATGCCATCGCTCTGTGCCAGCAACTGCTGGGTAAGAGGAGCACTGACAGAGGGGGCGCCCCACCTACGACCTGCGAACACCGAGAGGCCCTCTGAGTGGTCGAGTCCCTCTATCCAAGGACAATGGGCAACATCACAGGCACAACCCTGTGCTGAGTAAAGGAAGAACAGCCCCAGGAGGTCATGGTTGGAGCCCGAGTGCCCCTAGACAAGGAATTGAGGTACTAAGTGCCTAGAGAGTTGACTGTGAGCACAAGAGGGAAAAAATTCTCTGTGTCCTCCCAAGCAGAGGAGTTTGCCGCTGTGCTTGGCTTAATTTTTAAATTAAGGGAATCTTGAGATTCCCTAAGTGACAGATACAAACGACCGATACCTGTGGCCCATGAACCCACGTGTCCTAATGACAGTTGAAGTCATCCCTGAGCACATACCAATTTGCCTGTAGTGACAATAGCCACGGAAAGGGAGGTAATGTGGAGGCCAAGGGATGAAAGCTAGATCAAGAGCTTCGCAAGAGAAACATCAGGAGAGAAGGCTCTGAGAGGCATGGTGTTGGACGGGCTGGTGTTCTCTGAGGTGAGGGAAGTGGACCGGCTAACTTAACCAAGTGAGCCCTCCTGGGGGGGGTGGCGAGCCGTGGGCTGTGGGCTGCCCTCTGGACCCTTTCTCGGGTACCCGGAACGTGCTGGGACTACAGTAGCAACGCTCCCTCCTGTATCCTCTCTCAGGGGGCACGTGACCTCGGTGAGGCCCTGGCGCAGGCTGGAGGGGGGAATGAGGGGAGGAGGGCCACGTAGAGAATGAGCATCATTCTGCCCACACATCGTGAGGCTGCTTCCATTTCCCCATTTAAATGGAGGTGAAGGAAGACAGGCAGGAACAACGTCCATGAGGTGCGCCGTCGGACAAGTGAAGTTTAGTTCACAGAGCGACATGCTGAGCATGGTGCCCGCACTCGGGTCGGCTCAGGAGACAGTGCTGAGCGATGCAGGACATCGCGACGGCCTCAGAGCCAACGAGTCCACGCTAAGCCAACAGAGGTCCTTTTCAGGAGAAAAAGTAAATCAGCTTGTCATTTTTTAAATTTTATTATTATTTTTTTAAATACAGTTTTATTGATGTCAGAAAGGAAGTCAGAGAGAGAGAAACATCAATGATGAGAGACAGTCATGGATCGGCTGCCTCCAGCACGCCCCCTACTGGGGATGGAGCCTGCACCCCGGGCCTGTGCCCTGACCGGGAATCGAACCATGACCTCCTGGTTCATAGGTCGGTACTCAACAGCTGGGCAGCTTGTACTTTTCCTTAACATTTTTTACATGGAATGTGGTCATTTCTTTACTGTTTGCTTTAAAACCTTAAGCTTAATTGTGCTCAATGTCAGAACCGTGTTATGTATGGTGCTGCCACGTACAGACACCAAAATAATTACATTGACTAAAACCAAGGTGGTCGTCCGCCGCAAACCACGCCCAGTTGCACCCCATCCTCTCACCATCAGCAGACCCTGTGCTGGTTTTGCTCTGACTTACTTTAATTTCCCTGGGCCTTGTCCATATCCTTTAGTCTCCAACTTCCTGTAAAAGTTCCTCAGCTTGGCTTCAAAGTCTCGCTTGTAAGGGGCTGGTGCCCGGGCATTGGCACGCTGCGTACCTACAGCAAACCACAGAGAGAGAGGGTTGGCCTTGCGCAACGTCCCGGTGTGCATCATGTCACCATGAACACATATCATCAGAGCTGAGACCAGAGGGAACATGTGAAAGTGGGCCATCAATGCGTTCAGCTCCTGCAGCTTCCCACTGTCCAGGTTAACGGCTGCACAGAGCTTACGCAAACAACACTGCCACTTGTTGCATTCTTTTTCTTTTGCAGAACCATGTGAATGTATTGACTTCTTCTATTGTTGACACTGTTACAGGTGTCCCCCTTCCCCCCCACCGTTGCCCACCTCCACACAGCCCCTGCGTTCCTTGGTGGCATGCTGGTCGAAAAGAGCGAAGCCGTTTGGGTAGTTATGATGGTGCCATGTGTTCGTCAAATATGTTCCCCTTTCAGCCCAAGCTGCTGCAAGCCAAGCTGGATTACTCATGCCCAGTGCTGACTGGAGGGCGGAATATCTTTGCTGGCTGCTGAGATGATATCATGGCAATTAGACAGGAAGTTATCATGTGAAAAATATGCGGTGTCTACAGCAAGAGCAGTGAGTTCCCATCCTTTACTCCATGGAAAACCTACGAAACTTCTGTCGGGTATGCACCCTAACTAGGAATTGCTTCAGACGCATAATTGCATGCATTTGATGCCATAGGGTAGAATAATCTGGATGTAAAAACAGAGTTCAGACATAACTGCTGAAGGCACGTCTCCTGGTTGCACAGAGTAAATAAGACTGCCGTTTGTTGCATTCTCTTTTTGCATAACAATGTGAACGTATTTATTACTTTTATTGTTGACACTGTTACAGATGTCCCATTTCCCCCCACCTTTGCCCACCTCCACACAGCCCCTGCTTCTCTTAATATGTGCCAAGTACTGTGATTATCTACAGATTACCTAAAGATTTTTTAAAATAATATCTCATCATATGACAAGTATCATTAATAAAATGTAGAAGTAACAGTTCCTCTTTCCATAGAAAACTCTGGCTTTGGGTCTTAAGGTATCTAACCGACACGCCTGGATACAGAATCGGTGATGAAAATGGGAGTGAGGGCCCTGACAAGAACACCAGAAATTTCCACCAGAGATTTCACAACACAATGAGAGAAACCAGAAAACAGACATACTGAAGTCCTGTGCCTTACGCACCAGAGTAAGCTCATTAAGTATTGCTTTGATGAATGAATCAGCTCAGTGGTGGTCATTCATTGCTAATACCATGTTAGATTCAGCAAGGGAAGCTCACAATGAGTCAGACAGGGTTCCCGAAGTGGGCACCGTGGCTGGGAAGTCAGCAAGAAAACCTGTCCAACAATTGGCGAACACGCGATTAAGTCCTAACCTCGATGGCGTGCCAACCATAGAGCAGAGGACAGGACTATTGCCCTGGGGCTGGACCCAGACCTAGTGATCCATCTTGTTCGCATTAAAATCATTTTTAAAGATTTTAAATTAACTTTTCAGCATTTAAAAATGAGGAGATTTCAAGTAAAAAAAAATACATATTTCCTCCAGACAATGTCGGGAGCTCCTGCAGCCGCTGGCGTGCACTCTCCTGGGGCTATGCGGGCCGCTGCTCCATCAGAGGAAATGTGCGCTCCACGCGCTGGCACGGCTGCCTGGCCCCAGGGTGCGCACTGACATCAGGGTTATGGAAAGGGACAGTGAATGAGGATGACAGGGAACAAAGGGGGAAGACTAGGGAGCCAGGCCTTTACCCCGGAGATCTGTCCTCTACGGGCGGCAGCGTGAGTTCAATAAGCCCTGTGAGTGTGGTCGGCAGACACGGGGAGACCCGCTCACAGAGCAGAGGGAACGCCATGGCGGAGTGAGTGGGGAGGGAAAGCAGTGGAAGGTTGGAGCCAAACTACGAGAGGAATTGAAAACGCAGCTGAGGAGCCTGGGCCCGATGCAGTGAGCAGTGGGAGGCAGCGTGGCAAGGAGAGAAGATGGGGTGGAGGCCAGTTAGGAGCAGTTGCATGGAGGCCTGAGGCACGGTGAGCCTGGACTGCAGGGTGGGGACGCAGGGGACCATGTGCCATGTGAAATAAGAATGGGTACCAGTAGGGAAGGAGAGCAGCAGGAACTCTCGTGCTAATACAACATTTTTAGGCCCAGCCTGCGTGGCTCAGGGGTTGAGCATTGACCTATATGAACCAGGAGGTCACAGTTGGATTATAGGTCAGGGCACATGCCCGGGATGCAGGCTCGATCCCCAGTGGGGGGCATGCAGGAGGCAGCCAATCGATGATTCTCTCTCATCATTGATGTTTCTCTCTCTCTCTCCCTCTCCCTTCCTCTCTGAAAACAATAAAAGCACTTAAAAAATAAAGTTTTTAGAACAATACCACTGCCGTTCGCTGGTTAAGTGCCGGCTTTGGCTTAGGGACCAGGCGCTTTGCATAGAGAATCCTGGGGAGTCCTCCCAAGTCTAGGGAGCAGGCATTGTTACCCTTTCCACCATCACCACTGTAACTAAGGCAACGGAAGTCACATGCCAGTGAATGGTGGGTGTGGGGTCTGAGCCAGGTCTATCTGACACCCAAAGCAGCATGGGAAGGGAGGCTGGTGGGCGGGGTGTGGGGAGGGAGGCTGGTGGGCGGGGTGTGGGGAGGGAGGCTGGTGGGCAGGGTGTGGGGAGGGAGGCTGGGGGGCAGGGTGTGGGGAGGGAGGCTGGTAGGCGGGGTGTGGGAAGGGAGGCTGGTGGGCAGGGTGTGGGGAGGGAGGTTGGTAGGCGGGATGTGGGGAGGGAGGCTAGTGGAGGCTGGTGGGCGGGGTGTGGGGAGGGAGGCTGGTGGGCGGGGTGTGGGGAGGGAGGCTGGTGGGCAGGGTGTGGGGAGGGAGGCTGGTGGGCAGGGTGTGGGGAGGGAGGCTGGTGGGCAGGGTGTGGGGAGGGAGGCTGGTGCCTGCCACTGTCTGCATGGAGCTGGGCACCGAGGGCCCGGGGCCTGCGCTGGGGCTTAGGAACGGTCAGACACACTGCTATTGATCATCGATATGCCCAGAGGTCTGTCTGCACAGCTATGACTCTTACCCACAGAGCTAAGAGCTGTGTCACAAAGAAAACCAATAACCTCGACCTAAGTGTCTGGGAAGCAGAAGGGACTCCTTGGCAGTGGTCCCCACAGCGCGGCTGCACATAGATCACCTGGGAAGCTTAAAAATCTCCCTGGCCAGGCCACAGCCAAGACAGGACATCAGACTCCTGGGGGTGTGGCCTGGCTAAGTTTTATAGGGCTCTCCACCAACTCCAAGCTTGAGAACCATTATCCGCCGCCCCCTCTCCGCCTGGGAGGGCAAAGGTACCCACAAAACACCTGGCAGCATCCGCACCCAGCGGCTGACACTCCTGGACACCCAGGGACAGGGCAGCACGTGCCAAGTCCCCTCAGGGGTGCAGCATGAGGCTGTCAGCGCTGCCAGCTGAGAAAAGCCAGCCAGTAAACCCAGACAGCTCAGAGCAGACTCATGAATCCGTGTTCGAGAGCATGATCGTGGAAGAGGAAAGGAAAAACACAGCACCCCATGAAAATCGTCCAGGCTCAAAAGAAACGTGATTCTTTAGGAGTTCATTCCTTAAACAGAAACACAACAGCCCATCTTATGCTGCTGGCGTGTAACCTGAGATGCTTAAGAGGATGTGGGGAGTCCCATAATGCATTCATCAGCACCAACACGGGCCTCAATAAAACAGCTCTGACTCCACTGATGCTCCCGCTGACGTGACTCAATTACGGAGACTCTGGGGACAGACGTCGTTAAAGGCAAGAAATGCTTCTGCTAATAGTTCTATCATGAAAAAACCATTTACCCATTACTTCACGGCTTAGAAATTACAGGGAATTAGGCCGCTGGCCCTTGTCAGACTCCTAATGCACGTCAGGTGCAACTGCCAAGAAATTCCAGGGCAGGAGCGCCGGTACTTCCGCTGTGGAAATAAAACATGATCTTTCTGGGAGCGGAGTGAGCAGCACTGTGCGGCCACAGCTCCCCGCGAGGCTCCAGGATCCAAGACTCCGACCGAGAGCGACTTCACGGTCTTTACGGACTTGAACAGAGAAGTCAGACTCAGGACGCTGCTACATTCAGGAAGTGACCCAATGAAGGGTGACTTCATAGGGTAGTCAGCGCTACGTGAATTATTTGCAGGAAGAAATTTCAGTAACAGACATTAGGGTTCTTTTTTCTTTACCATTCCTAGGCAGACCTACAGTCCTTCCATCTAGTGCCGCCCTATTTCTACGTACTGTTACAAACCTGCATCATCACATAGCAACTCGAGAATTCTACCTGAAAAAATCCCTGGGGTGATACTAGGAAAATCTCTGCATCAAACTTCTAAGAAGCCTGGGTCCCTTCTGATTATCCGGAGGTGCCCCCAGGAGCCCCGACCGCCTTGAGGACTAGCGGCCCTGGATGGGGGGTGAGCTCAGCCTCGTCCCACATGGCCCCAGGCCGCTGTACGGGGATGGCTCAGAGCTCATTTCTACCCTGGTTCACTTTCTAAAAAGAAAACTCTCTATGACATTTTCAAAAAATTCTGTCAGTGAATGAGAACAGACTATCAAGCTGTGCAGTAATTTCTGGGCGACTCCATCTTCTGGAACATAGCTCCGCAATGGAAATTAACAGGGAAAACCACACACACACACACACACACACACACACACACATTCACACACTCACACCTCCAGACTAGCTGGCTAGAAGCACAGACACTGCAGTCTTCACATTTTTGCTTTATTCCCAAGAGGAACAGGCCTTCAGGTCATTGTTTTGAGCCGGCTCATGCTTTCATTTACATACTATTTGTTTTTTTTTAAAAAACCCTTGGATAGTCTGGCCTCTCAGACCAGGGTAGATTTTAAAAGGGGAGAGCAAAAGGGCATGCCAGTGACAGGCACCCTGAGAGCACTGGGGTGGGGGACAGGGAGGCGAGCGACAACAACCACCACCACCTCTTAGCTGTGACCGACATACTCGGCTTCCCTTCCCCTTGTTTCTGGAACCACAGGTCCCCATCCCCCACAAGGGACACCTACAGTTGTACCATCTGGTTCCCAGATCACCTGGGGGGGGGGGCAGAGTAAAGAGAAGGGGTGGAACCCCATTTCTAGAACAAGTGCAGAGCGACTCCAGGGAGAGTGGGGTGATGGGGGAAGGGAGCGGGAATTAGAGAGGAAAGGAGGGAGAGGGACAGAGAGGATGTTTGTGGGAAGAACAGCCGATGAGATGAGGAGCAGCTAAGATGCTAAGACTTCAGAAAGAGATAGGAAGAGAGAATCTCCCGTGGGGTCGGAGAAATCATTCCCTCTCCCACCCCAGGCCCTCAAGACGAGCTCCAGGAAAGACCCACGTGGCCCCTCAGTGCTCTCTGGGACCTGGGACCTGGGCTGCCTGTGACCTGGGCTGTCTGTGACCTGGGCTGTTGTCGTCTCCAGATGGCCCAGGTCTGGCCAAGGACCGCCAGCACCGTGCGACGGTCCCTTAAACCACCAAGTGCCTCGTGCACTCAGAGCTTAGGCGACGGGCACGTTCACAGGCGTGAGCACACGTCCCACAGTATTCGTTAAATGGGGGATTCGCTGCATCTAAGTTCCTAGAAATGCCCAGCCTCCTACAGCCCCTAAGTCTCCTCCTGGGCCCGGATTGGACATCACAAACCATAAGGTGCTTGGGGCGGAGGGCGCGAAGGCCGGGACTGGCATCCAAGGTCCCAGGAAAGCCAAGCTTCCCGCTCCACCATGGGGACAGGTGTTCAGCGGCGCTCTCACAGCTAAAGAGCAGCGAGTCCCCATTGGCGGAGCCCCTCCCCGCTGCCCTCGACTGTCCCGCGCTCGGATAAGGAAACATGGACAGCTGACCCGGTCCTAGGGCTCCGAGAAGAAGATCGTTAAAATTCATGATCGTGGAGGTTTTTACATCATCCCCACACCCTCAGGGGGTGCCGTTCTAGTTGCAAGGAGGACCAGACAACCTCTCAGAACCCCTCGGAAGTGTTTTCACAAAAACTTGGGAAACACCGGTAGAAGGAGAGGCTCTTTCACCTGGAGAAACAGGAGGAAGGCGGCCAGCGAGTCCCCCTGGGGGTCACGTGGCATCAGTTAGTGAGCCCACGGGCCAGGCAGTGCAGCCGACTGTAGGGACAAACCACACCCACTGGACCCGGGGGGCCAGAGCATGGGGACGGTTCTCCCTGGGAGTTACAGCCGCCACTAGCACTGCTGGCGAGGGTGGTCTGCCTGGGTTCTCCTTGTCTTTGGAACGTAATCCCACACCTGCTTCCAGGAGGCGGGCTATTCCCACCAGGGACTCCTCATGGCCATGGTGATGCGCGATGAAATGAAGTGATCGATAGAGGCATCACGTCGCGTGTCCACACCAGCCTCGAGATGCTTGGCCAGTCTCCCGACCCGCGCCTCCGGGGGGGGGGGGTTGTTCAGAGGGACACCCCGAGATCTACCTTTTCTCGGGGAGGCTGCCTCAGCAAAGGCCTGGGAGGAGAACGTTGGCTGGAATCAGTGACAACCTGCACGGCTTCATTTCTTTACCCATGAAGCACCGGGAGAGGGACAACCCAACTGAACGCCACCCAGGGCCCCAGCTACGATAAAGACCCGTCAGAATGAGTAACTATTTGGGCGGCCGGCCCTGCGCATCAGGAAGAAATGGGTTGACATGCTGCAGTTATTAATGGCTCAAATATTGACAAACGCTACTTTTCAGGATCCTATTTCCAAAAAGGAAAAAAAGAAAAAAAAAGGAGTAAACGAATATGTCCTGGATGCTTGGGATGGTGTTCTCCAGCGAGGTTTCCTCCACGTAACCGGGGAGGCGACCACCATTATTCCCATTTTACAGGACAGAAATTCAAGGCCACGGAGGAGTGGATCGCCCAGCGTCACACACGGTTGACGAAGACGAAGGCCAGCTGTGAATGACAGCAATTTCTCCCCTGGATGTTGGCATCAAACGTCTATGTCACATTGAAACTTACCTGTCGCGTCATCTACTGCTGTCTTCCCAACCTGTATCGTCCAAGCTGGTGTCCCTGCTCTGTTCCCAAGCTGACCGGTGCTTGGGCCCCCAGGGTCCTGCCTGCCCCCGGCCTGGGCTGTGCCGCCTGCTGCTCCGCCCCATTCAAGTGGCCACTCTCTTCCCACCCACATCGTTTGACCTCTGTGTGCCTGACACACAGACGCTCAGCTCTGCCCCCGCCCTCCACCCCCGCCCCCGAAACCCCCTCCTGAACGCCGCTTCTCCTTCCAGGTACTGTCCAATAGTCTACCCTCCTGGCTTCCTCCTGACGTCCTCTATCATTCTGTCACCGGTCACATTCCAGTCTGTGACCGATGGTTTCACGGAAACTGCCCTGGCAAAGGCCATACCCAATTTCATAAATTTCCAATTTAATGGCCTCTTCTCAGACTCATCCTTCATGACTCCTTTGAAGATGGGCCCCGGTTAACCGCTCCCTCCTCCTTGAAACCTGGCTTCTCTGAAAAGACTTTCCTAATTCTGTTCCAAAATCCACTGGCTCTCTCCCCTGCGCGCTCTCTCCGCCCATCACTGAAACACTGGGGTTTCTCATGTGACCATCCCCCTTTTCCCTGCTTTCCACAGACTTGTCTTCCCTCGTTCCCCTCCTCTCATTCTGGCCCCGCTGCCACCCACACCCGTGTTCCCAGCAGCTTCTCCCGAGCTCCATGGCGGTCTTTTCCAGCTGTGCCTGGATATCTCCGAAGATTCCTCAGGAAACACGTCCAAACCAAACTCATCCCCGCTCCCCTCCAGGCCAATCCTTTTTATTTCTGGGTAAACGGGGTGACCGCCTGCCTAGCAATCTGGGTGCTGGGACCTCAGAATCTCCCGTACCTGAACTCACAGTCCTGGGCTCTCCCCCTCCTACGTGTCTTCCGAATTAATTCCCTTTTCTCTATCGCCACCAGTCCGGCTCTTCAGCATGTCACCTGGGCTAACACAACCGCCTTCGAACAGTTTCTCTGACGCTAGTCTCTCATTTTCTAATCCATCCTCTGTATCGCCACCAAACTGGTCTTTGTAAAACAGGACGTTCCCCTGTTTATACATTTTTAGGGGCTGCACATGGGCTACAAGGGACAGCGTCGATGACCCACAGGCCCTAGGCCAGTGATGGCGAACCTATGACACGTGTGTCAGAGGTGACACGCGAACTCATTTTTTTGGTTGGTTTTTCTTTGTTAAATGGCATTTAAATATATAAAATAAATATCAAAAATATGTCTTCGTTTTACTATGGTTGCAAAGATCAAAAAATTTCTATATGTGACACGGCACCAGAGTTAAGTTAGGGTTTTTCAAAATGCTGACACGCCGAGCTCAAAAGGTTCGCCATCACTGCCCTAGTCTATCTTCCAGTCTGAGCTCTGGGAACTTGCCCTATCCATTTGCCCTAAACTGTTTTCATGCTTCGGTGCCATGAAGGCCCTTCTTCCTTTGGTCTCCCTGGTAAACTCCCATCATCATTCTTCAGGGCCCCCCTTCATACCTGGGACCTTCATCTTTCCCTAAACACCCCACCCCTAGTCTTAAGGGAAGACGTGTTCCCACATCGGTGTTCCCACACATTCTTCAATACAGGACGGACCACAGAGCTTTGCAGAGTCATTCGTTGACTCACTGGCCCACTATGAATCCTTCAAAGGCAGAGAGTGTGTTATTCATCGTTGTAGCACAGTGCTTGGCTCATAGATGATGCTCAATAAATCTGTGGTAAATGAACCTTTTCCTGTTTGAGGTATTTGAGTCGGCTGTAGCTTCATTATCACAACAATATGTGAAAACACATGTTACATATCAACGAACACAGAGCAGCTCTTCGTAATACATATGGAGTGTGGATTCCCAGTAACATAGTTTTAAATTTTGAAAGCTGTTAAAGTGTGAACAATGCATTGCCTATAATGAGGATAATGCAGCTGATTTACAACATCATGACTACTCTCCTTTAAAAAGCACTCATTTGCTAAGCTGCATTTTCTACCATTCATTCATTCATTCGTTTATCTATCCATTCACTCCTCCATTCAACCAGTCATTCCTTCATTCACCACATACCTCCCTCAAAAGGAATTTGAAGTTAAACATGTTCGTTTGTTTCATCGGTCACACGTTCTGTCTGCCCACGGGTCCTTCGCTGTCCCATGCAGTGCAGGCAGTGACAACTGCAGGGAAAACTCTCCAAGTCCCTGAAGCTGACCAGCTTCAATTCTCTATTATTTCTCGAAAGTAGAGATTTCTTTTTATTACTCCTTGAATCAGCCTCCTAACTAAAACCTTCTAAATGCAAAAAGCTAACACAGTATTCTGTGCCCTAACGTTTTCCAAGGCATATTGGGCACCGCCGAGTGAAGAGTAAGTTCTGTCTCCGACTAGGCCGCCCGGCGAGCCTTTACCTTGCTATTCCGGAACGTCATTACCTTCCTGTCAGCATGAATCCCCGGGAAACACGCCAGTTCCAGAGGACAGAGCGTGTCCCGTGGCATGCACCCGGGCTGGCCCTGAGATGCACCCGAATGTCCCTGCACCGGCCCTGACGCAGAACACAACTCTTAGGGCTCGCTCCTCGGGGAACCCGGGAGCTGCAGGTGGACTCACCTGGCGAGTTCTGGGGAGAGGACACAGGGGAGCCGCGCGGGGACTGACAGTAGCTGGGGTGAAGTAAGGCATGTGGAGGCACATAAGACATTATCTCTTCTTCAAATAAACTGGGGAAAAACAAGAAACAAAATGCGCACTTTAGCCAACGAGGTGGGGAAAAGCCGTGTTTCCAGCTCAGACAGTCGCTCTCTCCTCCTGGCCCGCCCCACCCGAGGTCACGTCCCCGTCCCATGGCCCACGGGGAGCGTTGTCCCTCTGCCCGCTGGCCAGTCCCCGCACAGACTGGCTGCTGCGGCCGCTCCTGAGAAACCTGTGGCTGCTGGTCTGTTTTCCTACCGACGTCGGACAATGTCGTTTCTGTTTTGCCACTTTAATGTGTGAGTGTGAGTTCACATGTTCGTGTGCAAGAGAACCTGGGTGTTGTCATTTGGGAATAAGAGTCCAACACAACAGACATCTGTTGAGAGCCCCTCCTGGATACACGAAGCATGTTTCACAGCTTCATCTGAGAGACAGACAGCAGCTCTCAGCCTTCGGAGCTCAGGACTTAAAAGGAGTGTTCAAAGCAAAAGAAAACAAAATAGCTCCTAAATAATCAGCCCCCTAGCTTCATAATGGTTTTCAAATGGGAGGGTTTTGATGTTAGATTACCCAACCCCGTATCTGCTGTTTCCACTAGTCTTCTAAAAGCCAGTCAGTCAGCAGATATCTGGTATCTTGGAATCCCATATCATACAGATGATGATAAGGAAAAGCAGTATTGATTGCACTAACTCAGTGGTCGGCAAACTGCGGCTCGCGAGCCACATGCGGCTCTTTGGCCCCTTGAGTGTGGCCATGAAGTTTCAATCGCACTGTACGTGTGCCCTCGCACGTGGTATTTTGTGGAAGAGCCACACTGAAGGGGCCGCAGTTTGCCGACCACTGCACTAACTCAAACAAACACTTAAAAAAGAATGAAAAGAACCATAAAGAGTTTTTAAATTAAGAGGTGGAAGTAGGTTTCCTTTACACTTGGCCAAATCTAAAACCTGCTCCTTGTTTTCAGAAGATATTCAGAAAAAGAGGCAAGAGTTTAACCTTGTAGGGGTTTAAGGAAAGACCCCCCAGGCGCTGCTTCTGAGCCCGGCAAGGCTGCCCTTCCCCACACCATCCGAGGACTCTGAGTGATGCTGGAGGCCGTTTTGGTTGCCATAACTGGGAGAGGGGGTGCTTTTGGTATCTGGTGGGTAGAGGCTAGGATGCCCATCAACATCTCACAACGCACAGACTAGCTCCCTGCCACAAAGGCATATCCAGCCCACAGCGGCTACACTTCCGAGGCTGGGAAACCCCGGGTGGTAGCAATGACAACTCCATAGCCTTTCTGTCCTTCTTCACCCACATGCACACATCTGTGGGACCAGGCACTGAGCAAAGGCACTTTTACACAAGATATTTTTAAAGCCATCTTTCCACTTTTAAACTACAGAAGTCAGAAGATTTGGGAACAGAAGCGGTAAGTAATCATATGTTTAATGCCTAATTAAGCCGTGAAATGGCCATTTCTCTTTTTCAGTAAGTCAGTAGTCATTGAATGTGATTTTAAAGGGAATCGCTAGTGAGAAGTCCCATGTAACAGGTGCTACCACAAAGTCCTGGCTAACATAATTGTAGAGTAGGGATTAGCACCCTCTCCTCAGACATCTACACCTGTGCTTTATTTTTACTTCAGACAAACATGCATGCATACGTGTACATCTGTGTATGTGTACATTTACGTACACACACACACATATATATATGCATATATATGCATATGAGTGTGTGTGCATATATATATGCATGCAAGTGTGTATATTTTGTTCTCCTCTCTCACAGCCTTAATAGGTATCCTTCCATAGTCTTATATTTAGCAACACATAGGCATAGATAAAAAATAAATAGCTTTGCCTGATGCAACGCTAAAAATTACAATGGGTATGTGTACATAGCATCCTTGGACATTTTGTTCAACAATATAATTCTGAGATTTGTCTGTGCATAAGGATGCAGTTTATTATTTTTACCTGCTATGCAGCAGGTCATTCTATGAACCAAGTTTATTTATCCCTATCTCCTTTGACAAATATTTACTTCTCCCCAACTTTGTGCTTTTATCAATAATGGTGTAGTGAACACCTTGGGCATATGTAAAAGAGTGTTTTAGCATAAACATGGTAACATAACTGAAATTAGAATTGCTCAGTCATAATGCAGATGCCTTTTCAACTATATTAATATATAACATTGCCAAACTGTATTCCGAAGAGGGTCTAGAAATGGCAATCCCGCCATGTCCAGGCAAAAAAAAGAGGCCCAATTTCTCAATTGGAATTATCAGGCTTCTGATTTTTTTTCAAATCGAACAGTGTGAACTAGTATCTTATTATTTGAAACTACATTTTATGACTGCGAGCATCTCTCCATAAGTGTACTGGTTATTGCTGCTTCAATTTCTATGAAATGCCTTTGTCTAGCCTTCACCCATTTTTCTTTTAAATTGATTTAAAGGCATTCTTTATGTACTTATGATATCATTTTTATGCCTTATGAATATATTCTTCTAGTTTGTTACCTTTCTTTATGTCTTCATATATGGTATCTTTCATTATGTAAATTTTAAAATTCAAACGTAGCCAAATTTATCAATCATTTCCTATATGAGCTCTAACAGAGGAATATTTTTTTTACATGAGTTGAGTTAATGAAAGAATATATGAACTAGAATTATCAATAACAGATGCAGCAAGGTCATTTAAGAACTCTCAGGTTTCATGATATCTATATTGGAAAATAGCCTGATACAGGTTTATTTTTGAATGGAATCATTTCCCAGAGCTGTGGCATCTATCTCTACACTGCAGGCTGCTGATAATCAAGTCCATTGGACCAGGAGTGATTTCTCTTTTTAAGAAATAGACAAAGTATAAAAACAGGCAGTCTTCCCCTATTAGCAACAAATCTGTTGCTTGAGTTCACAGTCACTATTTCAAATTATTCTAACTCCAAAGTAAAATTAAAAGTAAAGAGCTAAGGATATCCCCAAAAGTTTCAGTAATCATTAAAGATCATTTACTAAGCAGCACAACTAACACACTGTGTCACTGTATTATTAAAATGATAAACACATTTGATCATCCAAATATTTCCAACCAAACTATGGAAGAAACACCATATTCCATATTAATTGACGAATCGTCTTCCTGACTGTCTGGCATAGCCTGTCCTATTTTCAGAACTAGCTCAGTACACCATGGGCAAGGCTCACCCTCTTGCGGTCAAGGAACCCCTCTACCATAGGTCTTATTCAGAATCCAGTGAAATGAAATCTTTATGGAAAGTGATTATATCCCAATGAATTATGCTCCAAAAATCCAGTAAAAGAAACTAACGTTTTGGCTTTAGTTTTTAAAATATGGCAACTATCAAGTAGGCAGTTAGAAATGGCTCAGGTCAAGATCATTATGAATAACATGAATGAGATTGTTAGCACTCTGGGATAAATAAAATATTGACTGACATGGCTCAGCATGACTTGCCCTTTCATTCTATGGAGGTCACACTGGTGGGGTGTCCCAACCACTGGGGGGAGCAAGCATTGTTCTACTCTGGCCTCCTACACTTGAAGGGTAATATTGAAAATGAAAAGAGCTCTTGAAATCTGGCTATTTCCCCTCGAAACCACTCTAAAATTTAAGACCAAAGGTGCTCTAACCAGCAGCAAAGAAAACACCGTTGGTCGGTTTTATGAAGGGCTATCAAGTTGAAAGTGAGGACCAGAGACCAAATTTCAACTTGATCTGATTTCCCAGACCTCAACTCCCAAAACCATAGAGTAAATAAACAGTATTGAATCAGCAAAAGGGGACCGAGCACAAGTTACACACACACACACAATCTGAAAGAAAATACAAACATGACCTCTTCTATGCTGAAGGGGTAAGCTGTATCTACCCTTCTGCTCCATTCTGTGAATGGGACGTTCCATGCAGTGGCCTCTACAGGCCCTCCCCTGCTCTAATGCACCTCCTCGACCAGCAGGGCAAAAACAATCAGGCATCTCCGTGATGGGAACGGCGATCCGGAATGAAGGACCACTACACCAGCATCCACCTCGGGAAGTGAGCATCCCCCAAGAACTCAGGAATAAAGGCTACCAGTGCTGTCAAATTATTTTCTAAAATGCTCCTGACACCTGATAATAAGGCCCTTTCTAGCTCAAGAATGAGCGTCACCTACCTCAGCAACATCACAAGGTCTGCATCACTGGAAAGACGCACCAATCCTGGGGTCCCTTCCGTTCGAATAAATTGGATCTTCTCCCTGTTCGAGCAAAGAAGCGGTTCACAATTTATGTAGTCGATATTTGAGACATAACTCAGTGCTTTAGGCACCAATTTTTTAAATGATGGTCACATGATTTTGGGGGTACCTGTTATGTGACAGCTGCGGTGTGACACCCTAGGAACACACATCCAAGGCAGACATGATGTTTGCCTTCAAGGACAACCTCACGGGGGTCAACATTAGCCAGTCCTAATGCTGGGAAAGATTCTTTTATTGGCCCTAACCGGTTTGGCTCAGTGGATAGAGCGTCGGCCTGCGGAATGAAAGGTCCCAGGTTCAATTCCGGTCAAGGGCATGTGCCTTGGTTGCGGGCACATCCCCAGTGGGAGGTGTACAGGAGGCAGCTGATCGATGTTTCTCTCTCATCGATGTTTCTAACTCTCTCTCTCATTCCCTCTCTGTAAAAATTCAATAAAATATATATATATATAAAAGATTCTTTTATTGCCTGCTATTTTGCTGCCCAAGTCCTACTACAGGTCGTAGTGTCATCCAAACAAGAAAACACAGTCTCGGCTTTGAGTTAAAGCCTGTGGTGGGCCTGAATCTAATCAACGGTAGATCATTCAGGCTGATTCCCTGTTATTTCAAATAGTGAGTGTGTAGAGATAGTCATTTATATTCCTGAGAGAGAACCTTTAGATTATATGTGAGGAGCACATTCTCACTTGGAAGCAGGTAGCATCGATGCATTATATATTCAATACAAGAGCAGACGGTTCTTTCAAATAACTGAAAATGTGGGACACTTCCAGTTACTACAGTTGGAGAGACAGATTCTGTGTCTCCCTGTGCAAGGCACACACGCTTACACAAACTCTTATCAACACCACGCGGTGCGCTATCCTACCGTCGTTCTATTACAGATACATGTGGTAACATCAGGTGTTTTGTTTGTTTCATGAGTCATGTTACTGTTTACAATTCTTTATATTAATACAATTTTAATGAAATTTTTCCTCGTTGTATCCCCTGATTTACACCGGGCTATTTCAAAGCAAACCATATTATTTTTTATGAAATGAGAGGAAAAATAAGAATATAAGTCATATTGAAAGCATTGCATTTGATAGGAGCACTGGGGCCAACAGAAGCATGTCTTACTTTAAGGACTAATGACAATGTACTCAGATTCCAGGATACAATGAAACAGCGAGTATTTAAGCATTTACTTAGATGTAAGTATTTATTTAGATTTAGTTCTTATCTACAGAGCATTTTGTTTCCCTGTTTACTATTTTAGTAAAATTCCACTGCCATTTGCATTTCCAAATTCCAAATTCTCTTCTGAGCTATGTAGAGGCCTGCAGGCAATGAGGTGGAAGGCGAGGTTTAATTGTTGAGACAAGAAAAATCCCTAATCACAGAAAGTCACTGGATTTTCTCTCAACAAACATAGCTCACTAGATAAACAGTTCAGTTCCCGGCTTCTTCTGGCTAGATCCATTTTACAGAACATGTTAGCATATGAAGCAGCTAACCTTTGGCATGGCCAGTTTTGTCTGTCCTTCACTACCAGTAGCTATATATATATATATACACACACACACATATACACACACACACACATACAATGGCAGACTTGTGTGTAAGAAAGCCCAGCTCTCTGCTTAACGCTATTTCAGTTTGGAGGCTCCAACCAATCAGAACATTTCCCCCAAGTGTTCAAATCACATGTCTAAAGCACAGGATGAAAACCAAGGCCCATTATCTGGTGAATGATTTTTTTTTTTTTTTTTTGGATAAGAAATATAAAAGTTGGTTTAAAAAAGCTAACAAGGAAAAGTTATCTTGGAGAAAAAATAAACAATAATTTAAACAAAGAAGTACTCTTTAAGGGCCAGTAACACTATACTTTGATCTTGAAGAATCAAAATCTATCTCCAACAAATACACAATTTATCTCCTAAGTCTATCATCACAGTGAACCAGGCAAACAGATCAAAATCAGAAAGCAAACAGGCTGAGCTCTCTCCCCCACTTCTCTGCCTGGAGGTACCCAGAGAGGGTGGGGCAATGACAAGGATCTCATGCTCTGGCCTGTGGCTTGTGTGTTTCCTGTGAATAAGGAAAAGATCATGGTTCTGAATCACAAGGGTGACAGGGTGAGGAAAAGCCAAGACACCAAAGGAAACGTGCCAAGTGGGAAATTGTTCATCACTTTCCAGATATTAACTCCTAAGCAGTGAAGGTCCCTCGCCTGACTCTTGAGGCAACGATCGAGCCAAGGCAGGCTGAGCCTAGCTTCCTGCGGGACCAGCTAACTCCTCACAGGGACAAGTTACCGGTCACATGCTTCCAGGAGCAAGACACTGCAGCATGTCGTCTGATGTACATCAGGCCACTAAGTCCTTTCTTATACTAATATTCATGCATTCTCTCAGCATACATTTTCTGAGTGCCTCCTATGTGCGAGGCGTGGTATCACACACCAGGAATCCAATACATGGTAAGACTACAGTCCCTTTCGCAAAGAGTTCAATCCTAGTATCACATGAAAACACTTAGTTACTTTCCGTTAGCTGAACTCTGTTTAGGCCTGATGCCCACCCCTAGTCTATAAACTCCTCTCTAAGGCCTTGTAGGGTAGAAACAAAGCAGGCACTGGGGAAGGGAACAGGTCAAGGCTGAGAACGGGACAGAAGCCAGCTGCTATACTCAGAAATGTCACCAATCTTTTCTGAGAAATGAAAAAAAAAAATAAGGGAACTACTTCTTTGTCCTCGGGTATTTGACCAACATTCTATAGACGAGTATTTCTCAAACTGGTGTTCTTGTCTACCAGAAATCTACAGACAAAATCTTTGAGTTCTGGGACAATTAAAACATTTTGTTTTCACTTTGATAATAAAAACTGCTGATATTGAGGTAAGCATATTTTAGATAATCTCATGGCATTTATGACTGAACACTGCCATGTGACTTTGGCTCCCATGTTTGCATTTATAAGACAGCTGCTGCCAAGTGATCAGAGATTAACTTCAAAGCGTCAGGGCCAGGCCCTTAGGTCTGTAGCAAGGGCTTAATGGTAACTATGATAACAACCACCCTTGTCTACTATTCATGCACAATTCTTTACCAACTGAAAACACAAAACTTTTCTTTTGTAGCATTAATTTGCATAATGATGATGTTGAAGTAAGGCTAAGTAATGTATCTCTAAGTTGCCATAGGCTAAAGAGAAAACAAAATAGATGGGTTTGAAAATAAATGAAGTATTTATACTAAATAAAGCATAAAAGATGTTGCAATTCATTCTAAGAACAAATGTTTTACGATAGTTTACAAATAGAAAAGTGGCAGTAAGATCATCACAGAGTACATTTAAGGACCTATGTTCTTTTTGGCATTGTATTTAGGGGCACACTATTGAATGAATTTGCTCATCAAAACAATGAATCGGCAGACAAAATTTATGCTATTTGTTAAGAAGGAAAAATGGTGACCACGATAATGCCACAGATGCCGGTGATGGGCCATTAGATGCAAAATCACAACAATCAAGTCAAACACAACTGAAACGAAAAGCCCGAATGTATCTGTCCCCTGACAATGGTCCCAGCGTTGGTGATTCGGTCTCTGAGAAACCAAGTCTTCTCATTAGTTCAAGTGTGATTGATTTTTTAAGTTTTTACTTAATTTATACGTCTCTTGGTTTTATAGTTTATAAAAGTACAGAGATAAAAAGGTTATGCATATTTTATATTTGTACACATTTATGTTTCAATAAAATAAAAGTGGTTAAAGTCTACATTGTAGACCTGCCATATTTCTTTTCCTCGTAGAGTGAGAAATAACAGATTTGGCTCCTAACAAATTTCCATGAGTTCACTCAGTGTCTGAAATAAACTAATATGTTTGAGAAATACTGTTAAAGATACGATGACTCTTAGTAGGGGGACATTGGAAAGTTACATTAATATATTTATCCAGTTGTATCTTATATTGCATAGAGTTATGAGGACTCTGGCAGTCCTCCAATTTCTTTCTTTACTGCCTTCACCTTAAAGCCACTTCCGTGGCTTTATAATGAGGATTAAGGTTATATTCAAATAACAGCTTATCATGTGAACTACCCTGCATGGCTGCTGCTCCTCTCTGTGCCCTCTGGGGTACATCCCAGCACTTCCTCCATCACACTTTCCCACAGGGCCAGGAAGCTAGAGCTTAAGTTCCTTTTGAAACACGAGTTTCTTGAGGGCAAAGCCCTTCCTTCCTCCTCTGCTTTTGTGTTCCCCAAGTGCCTACCACGGGGCTGTGCGCACAGCAGTGCTCAGTAAAATGCAAGCCAGGCACTGGATCAGTGAACCCCAAAAGGGCAGACTTGGCTCCGAACAAATTTCTCTGAGTCCACTCAGTGTTTGGAAGAAACTATCTTGCCATCATTTTGTTGTTGTTGTTGTTGTGGCAGAGAAAAAGACAATCAGAAAGCAGACCTCAGATTATTAACTCAAACAGAACCCCCTGAGGGAAGTGCAAAGACAGGCAAAGGAGCAATCCCTTCTAAAGAAAACTCACAACGGTGGTATGAGGCTTAACTGTCCAGTGAGAACCTCAGGAGAAAGTTGCTGGCTGCTGCTGCCTCCGATGCCCATAATAATTAGCCTCCTGCGACCACTTCCTCCAGCACAGAGAATCACCCCAGAGGAGGAACCCTAGCAGAAGATCATTTGAGGACAATCAACATAGTCTCAAGACCGGAATTCCCACAGAAAATACTCCCACCGGAACCAGCCAACGTTTTGCTGAAGTTGAAGAAGGGCACGTGATCAGAAGCGACCAGAAGCAGCCACGCTTCTAAACCACAGGGCCCTGGGTTGCAGACTCTGCAGCACACATGGTTCCCGCAGGCCCAGCTCGGAACACCTTCAAAAACACACGGGTTTTTAAAAACCCCCCGAGGGCAGTTTTAGAGAAATCCCCAGGACTTCTCTAGCGGGGGATGCCAAGGAAGGAAAATGAGCACCGATCATTTA